TTGCCAACATAGTGAGACTCTGTCTCTACAAAAAAAATTTAAAAAATTACCTGGACATGGTGGCACAGGCCTCTAGTCCTACCTACTTGGGAGGCTGAGGCAGGAGGATTGCTTGAACCCAGGAATTCAAGATTGCAGTGAGCTATGATAAGGCTACTACACTCCAGCCTGGGCAACAGAGTGAGATACTGTCTCTAAAAAAAAGAAAAAGAAAAAGAAATACTTATTTTTTATATATGTTAAATCTCGGTCATATATGTTGCCAATATTTTGTCTCATTTGTTGTTTTTCTTTTCTTTTTTTTTTTTTTTTATGCTTAAAAGACACCATAATGTTTAATGTGGTGCTGGGACACTAGGCCACATGGATCAACAGATCTAAATTTATTACAACCCTGAACTTTGTTAGTGTCCAATACATGAATTATAATAATTGAAATCAGAATTTCTCTATTTAGAGATGAAGAAAAAAGTCTTCTAGTATAATTATTTTAGAAGAAGGTGTTTCTATTATCATTATCGGAACGAAGACTTAACAACCCAGCATATTTAAACAATGAACAGATGAAAATACTCACTTTTTAAAACATGCTACTATTCTCTCTCTCTCCGTCTTCCATTCTTAAACATAAATCAGTCTTCACTTTCTACTTAAATTGCAATGAGCAACCCCACAGACTAGGTATTTGAAAATCAGTGGGCAAACTAAAATTGTTGAATAAATCCAAACTTCTTTAAACCAAGTTATTCCTTAAACATCACACGTATTGTCAACCACCCACTGACTCAATATTTTACTACAGAGAGTAGCACCTATTTTAAAACAATGTGAGAAACTAAAACAAAACAAAACAAAACAGAACAAAACTTGAGGGTTCGATGTGAAAAATATTGCAAGATGGAGTCTATCAACCAGAAACCACCTGTTCTAGTTGCTACTCTCCTAATGCATTCTTAATTTCAAAACATAGGAATGATTTTAAAAAAATCCAACATAGTAAATACCTAAGTATCTAGATGTGTAACAGTTCAGCTCACAGGCTTGACTCAAGACTTTGAACTTATTACTTAGAAAGATTAAGATTTTGGACCCAATTATTCAAAGATCCACTGACTAACCCACAATGGAGTTTGTGTTAATTGGCTGTGTAAATCAACCACATAACAGCAGTCAGATGATTCTAATCTCAGTCCAAGAGAAGCAGCAATAAAATTAGAAAGTAATATTTCTTTTTAGTAATTAGATAATCAATATAACAGCACTGGGATAAAATGAAGAGAATTTCTTATTTCAGCTTCTTGTTCAATAAACTTGTTACTCATTTTTAGATGAGAATAAAGGTATCACAACCAAATATGGGAAACTGCTTTCTCTTTATTTAGACTTTTGGGACAAAATTAACTTTGGTCACATATTATCTAAAAAAAACAAAACCAAACCAATTTTACATATTTTTAAATAGATAGGATGAAATGACTACAGAATTAACTTCTTCTGTAATAACTGGCCAAATTTTATCAAAAGCCTAACAAAACATAATTCAAATTATATAAAGACTGCTTGGGATCCTAACATTCCAAGTGTCTGACAGTTGTTACTCCATCATAACAGGTGCGAAAGTACTTACTCTCTTGTCGCTTTGGTCCAAAGAGAAGACCTGAGTAAGAGAACACTATCTAATCTTTTGCTAACATTAATTGTGATTGGCAGCAGAAATATCCATGATGAATAGTTCTACTATAACAAAGGATAATTAAAGAATATTTCTCATGAACATATCACGGTATCAAATTTCTGTAAGAGAAAGATATGAAGGAACAAAAATGATAAAATAGCTACCACAAACAAAAAGAAGGATCTCGGCTGGGCGTAGTGGCTCACGCCTGTAATCCTAGCACTCTGGGAGGCCGAGGCGGGTGGATCGCTCAAGGTCAGGAGTTTGAGACCAGCCTGAGCAAGAGCGAGACC